CCACCCTGCCTTGCCTCACAGGACGAGCCCACCTTGGCCACACTCACCCAGTCTGCCATGACCACCACAGCCACGCCCACCCAGTGGGCCACGCCCACCGGCACCCAGTGGTAAATAAGTGGGTTTTGGGTTGCAGTTTGGGCACTCGGTCTCTAAAAGGTTCGCCATCACTGCCATAACCCATTGGGTCATCCTTTCAGATATATTTCCTTATAGACTGACCACAGACGGGCAAGAAATCAGTAGGAAGGGGAATGGTTTTCAACTTCTTGCCGGTTTTCCTATCACTTTGATTGCAGAAACCTGGCAGGGAGCATTGAAAATCATGATAATGTGACCATGGCTGATTGCAGCAACATAGTAGCATTGCAGCACCCACCCACAACTTTGCAAACACATCTAGTCCTCGACTTACAACCACAATTGAGCCCAAAATTTATATTGCTAAGTGAAACAGTTGTTAAGTGGGTTTTGCCCCATTTTATGTCCCTTTCTTGCCTCAGTTAAGTGAATCACTGCAGTTGTCAAGTTAGTAACACGGTTGTTAAGTGAATCTAGCTTCCCCATTGACTTTGCTTGCCAGAAGGTCGCAAAAGGTGATCACGTGACCCAGGGACAGTGCAACCGTCATAAATATGAATCATCTGAATTTTGATCACATGACCATGGGGATGCTGCAGCGATGATATGTGTGAAAAGTGGTTATAAGTCACTTTTTTCAGTGCTGTTGTAACTTTGAACAGTCACTAAACAAACTGTTGTAAGTCGAGGACTATCTGTACAAGCTTTCTGAAGATCCTTGAAATTTCAATTCCCTGATTGCAGATTTTGAATGCATTCTTTAAGTTACCCCATTCAAGGTTCCTTGCCCTATGATGCATTGTTTTGGGTAATTGAAGGTTACAGACAGGCAAGACAGTTTTAGTTGTATATAGATAATTGATATGCAATGAATGGACGAAAATCATAATAATAATAATGATGATGATGATGATGATGATGATGATGATGATAAAGTTGGAAGGGACCTTGGAGGTCATCTAGTCCAACCTTCTGCTCAGGCAGGAAACCCTATACCATTTCGGACAAATGGCTGTCCAGTCTCTTCTTAAAAACTTCCAGTGTTGGCGCATTCACTGCTTCTGGAGGCAGGTTGTTCCACTGGTTAATTGTTCTAACTGTCAGGAAGTTTCTCCTTAGTTCTAGGTTGCTTCTCTCTTTGGTTAGTTTCCACCGGTTGCTTCTTGTCCTGCCTTCAGGCGCTTTGGAGAATAGCCTGACTCCTTCTTTGTGGCAGCCCCTGAGATATTGGAACACTGCTATCATGTCCCCCCTCGTCCTTCTCTTTGTTAAACTAGACATACCCAATTCCAGCAACCGTTCCTTATATGTTTTAGCCTCCAGTCCCCTAATCATCTTTGTTGCTCTTCTCTGTAGTCTTTCTAGTATAAGATGTTTTGTTGCTGATACATCAGTAGCGATTGACAATTCATTCTCTAAAAAATTGTTGGAAATGTAATGATTTTTTTGGACCATTTTTTTTCCACATTTGTTTGGAATGTTGTAAACAATTTTGGGAAATAATTTATACTAGAATGAAACAATTCTAACTGCAAACGTTTGTTAAATATTGCTAACCTTTACTATATTTCCCCAAAGTATATAAACTAACATTGAACATGGTAACTGCTACAAGGATATTCTGTTTATGATTGAAAAGTACATGCTGAATGGCTAATTATGGCAGTAGACACACCGATGTCTAAAATAAGTTTGTATTTCAAAAATAAATCTGATACAGAACTCATGAGGGGAACCATTTTTGGATTATAATTCTATAAATGGGCTTGAGTCGCACCCAAAATTTGGTTTCTCTTAATATAAAGTCTAAATATTGTAACTTTCTAGATTTGATAGATGAGAATAAATTTCAGGTATTTGGATAGAATTTACTGTAGCTTTTAATCTTATTTTATGATTTACACTGTGTTGATTATTGCTATGTTATTCATATATTAAATGGACTTTAAGAGCAATCTGCAATTTTCAGGACAATCTAATATATAGAGTTACTTCAGTTAATGAAATATTGAAATTTTTAATCTAATTCTGGGATGCTTGATAAATTGGATACCAAAGTGAAAGTCATCCATTGGCTAGAATTTCTGCAACCTTATCCAATTTCATTTCCATAAATCTAGTTAAAGTCAATTCTGGAAGAATTTTGCTATCAGCTGAGTCAGCTACTAAGACCTCATACTTTCTATATCAGGGGTGTCAAACTGCCGGCCCGCGGGCCGGTTTCATCATACCGGAGCCGCACCCACCCCATTGCCGGCAACGGCGAAAAAGCTCCGATACGTTGCGCGACGTCACGTGACATCGCGAGTTTGACATGTCTGTTCTATATCATGGTTCTGACTGCTGTAGACACCACTGCCCAAAATAATAATACTGTATATATTCATGGATAAGCCAAGAATTTTAGGTGCTGAAGTGTACCAAAAAGACTGGGTTCCGCTTACCAACGGATAGGCTTATCCTCAGATACATACACTAATATTTTAAGTAATTATCTTGAGGTACATCTGAATACCTCGCGATTCCCTGCTGTTAGTGTAATTCAGAAGCAGAAACCTTTTCATTATTATATATACTCAAGGATTAACCCTTTCGCAGATAAGCCGAACTCTTGAATTTTTAACCAAAATACTGGTAGTCCTTGACTTAAGACCACAACTGAACCCAACATTTCTGTTGCTAAGCAAAACAGTTGTTAAGTGAATTTTGCCCTATTTTATTACTTTTCTTGTCACAGTTGTTAAGTGAATCACTGTAGTTGTTAAGTTAGTAACATGGTTGTTAAGTGAATCTGGCTTCCCCATTGACTTTGCTTGTCAGAAGGTCACAAAAGCTGATCACATGATCTTGGGACACTACAACCGTCATAAAATAGGAACCAGTTTCCAAGCATCTGAATTTTGGTAACGTGATCACAGGGATGCTGCAATGGTTATAAGTGTGGAAAATGGACATAAATCACTTTATTCAGTGCTGTTGTAACTTTGAACAGTCACTAAAGGAATGGTTGTAAGTCAAGGACTATCTGTACCATGAAAAATGCACCATTCACAGATAAGCTGACCCTCAAAATTCTCATATGTTGGAGTTGGAGTCTACACATTTTAAAAGTTGCTGAGGTTGTGGAATATTGGATTAGATGATCATTGAAATCTCTTCTAACTCCATGATTCTATTTCCTTCAGTGTCAGGAGTGGAAACAACACTGCATAGAACGGATAGGTCCTTATCCTAATTTACATTCTGCTTTAGATGGTTAAAATGTAAATGGAAGGAGAGATCAGATATTAGCATTGACTCTGTTTGCACTACACGCTATATCCGGTTACCATTTTTCTTGATTTACACGAAATATTGAACAATAAAGTAAGCAAATAGGCTTGATTTGCATATCAAACTAGGACATAAAAATGGAGCAAAGAAAACTGCAGGTACTAATTATTTAACTGAGTGGATGATAAGACTGAAAATAAGGGAATTGAGATGTTCAGTGTTCCAAGATATGAAGGCCACCAGTTTGAATGGCCTTAAAAAGGAAATGGATTTATGGTTATATCTTATGATTTATGTTTTATCCCTTTGTTTGTTGTACATTGAAGACAATACATTGTGTGTTCAATCATGCTTGGCCATTAAAGAATTCTATTCTATTCTATTCTATTCTATTCTATTCTATTCTATTCCATTCCATTCCACTCCACTCCACTCCACTCCACTCCACTCCACTCCACTCCATTCTTAATGGAGAAGAAGTCTATCAATGTTGAAGACTCACAGTTACCTCTAATTTAGGGACAGCAAGCCTAGTGGGAGGAAGGGAAATGCTTGGGCACCTCGGAAACATCTACGTAGTTACCCACTGTCAGAAACAAAGTACTGGGCTAAGATGGGCTCTGGGCTGGTCCAACAGAGTTATTCCTATGTTCTCAGGAGTCGTGTGATATAATATTGAAGTGTTTGCTTTCTCCAGATAGCTGAGTATAATTGCCTGATGAAGAGTTGTTGGACACTTGAAAGACTGCATATTCTTTGTGGACATTCAGTTTGACTAGTAAAAATATTGCTTTCATACAGATTTTTAATACAATTTCCTCTCTTTGTTCAGCATTTCTGCATCACTTGGAAGCTTGCACCCTTCAACAGTTTTATTTGGCTTTCTTTTACTTTTTGGCAAATGCTGTTATTACAGGGTAGTCCATGACTCATGTCCACAATTTGGAACCAGAATTTCCATTGCTAAGCAAATGTTGTTGTGAATTGTGCCTGATTTTATGGCCTTTTTGCCACGGTTAATTAAATGATTGCAGATGAATCATGCACTATTAGGCGAATCTGGCTTCTCCCATTGACTTTGCTTTGTCAGAAACCAGCGGGGAAGGTTGCAAATGGCGATCACATGACCCTGAGATGCTGCAACCATAGTCAATACATGCTAGTTGACAAACGTCCAAATTTTGGTGACATGACCATGGGGATGCTGTGATGGTCATAAGTGCAAGGATCAGTCGCAAGTCACTTTTCACTGCTTTTGTAACTGAATAGTTGCTGAATGAATGGTCATGAGTCAAGGATTGGCTCAGGGTTAGGCAACCTTGGCTCTTTTATGACTCGTGGACTCAACTCCCAGAATTCCTGAGCCAGCATAGCTCAGGAATTCTGGGAATTGAGTCCACGAGTCATAAAAGAGCCAAGGTTGCCTACCCCTGGACTAACTGTATAGCTGGCTCAGGAATTCTGGGAGTTGAAGTCCACGAGTCATAAAAGAGCCAAAGTTGCCTACCCCTGGACTAACTGTATTCATCTTGGCCTCACATTGCATTTTGGAATTGAAAAATGATTGTTTTTAATCTTGCTTGTTTAATCTTGTTTTTAATTATATATATTTCAAAAAAAATTCTTTCCGTCAAATGATTTAACAGGTTGGTGGAACAAAAACCGGTGTGGTGCGCTACGTAGGGGAGACGGATTTCGCCAAAGGGGAATGGTGTGGTGTGGAGTTGGATGAACCTCTGGGAAAGAACGATGGAGCTGTTGCTGGAACAAGGTATTTCTAGACGCCTTTGGAATAATTCAGGCCACCGAGCCCAGCCTTCTGCTCAGTGCAAGAATCCAAATTAAAACATCTCTGGCAAATGTCTGTATAGCCTTGGCTTGAAATCAACAACAGATAAGACCCCTACGTCTGTTGGGGGAATGAACTACACTGAAAAAATCACTTTCTGGTTGTTGGGTCAAGGTTTCTTCTAACTTTCTTCCAGACTTCCTTCTAAAAGTTAACCCATTATTTTATCTCCGTAACTCTGAGGGTTAAAAGATGCCTGCTTTCTTTAGAGCCAACGGAGATGTCTTGTTATATCTCTCCATCCCCACTCCCATCTGTTCTCAACGTCTGACGGGCCAAATGCCCTCACTGTCTTCCTGTCAGGCTTAATTTTCCTCCCCAGGATACTGTCTGAGCATGGATGAATGCCTGCCACCAATTTAGTGTGCAGCATCTTTGAGCAAGTCCTGGGAGATCTCTTGGGGATGCTGACACGTGTTCTGCCTTCCCACAGTTTGAAATAATTGAGGTTTGAAATGTTCTTCTTGAAGTAGTACAAAAGATTGCATGCATTACTTGTCCTATGCACACAGTAAGTGTTCTTGGGTGGTCTACAACCAAAGCAAACTATACTAGACGCAGTGTTTCTCAACCTTGACAATTTTAAGGCATGTGGACTTAAGGAAGCTAAGGATGCTGACAACTGCTTAGAAGATGGTTGGGAGTGAGATTTGATGGTGTGATAGGGGGGAGAGGAAATGAAATAACACCGTCTTTGCCTTGTTTTGTTTAGTCTGAAATGTGGAACAACCAAACTCTTCTCACTTTTGATTTTCATGAACCATGGAGTGCCTGAAACAAATTGGTAGATCCCCAGTTCAGTTTTGGGTTAAAAAAAAAAAAAGCAGTTCCCCTAGTTTTAGCACTAGTACTAATACTAATTTTTGAGCCCAACATTTCTGTTGTTAAGTAAGGCAAGTGAGGTTTGCCCCATTTTACGACCTTTTTTGCCACATTTGTTAAGCAAATCACTGCAGATGTTAAGTCTGTCCGTAATTGTGTCAGAAGCACCTACAAAGCTAACCGAAGGGTTCTTCTGGGTTGAAAGGATTTGCCAGTGACAACACCGTTGCTCAGGGGACACCCGATTACTAAAAATAATGCAGTCTTCAAGGTGACTCCTTTCATGTCCCCCAGGTGTTGAATCATGCGGTCATTTGTTAAACAAATCTGGATTCCTCATTGACTTCACATGTCAGAAGCCGGCTGGGAAGGTTACAAATGGTGATCACGCGACCCCGGGACACTGCAACTGTCATAAGTACATGCCAGTAGCCACGAATTTGAATTTTGATCACATGACCCTGGGGATGCTCCAACGGTTGTAGGTGTGAAAACCAGTCATAAGTCCTTTTTTCAGTGCCATTGTAACAATCACTAAATGAATGGTTGTAAGATGAGGACTGCCTGTATATCTGTATTTCTTTTGTTTTTATTTCACACAAAGCCCTTATGTAATGGGTGCTCTAGCCACAGTGGTATCTAGGTTTCTTGGCCCTCAGCACTACACAGCAACTATCTACTGTTGTCACCACAATACACCCACAAGATCGGAGGACAATCATCAGATAGATAACGCTTTGTCAGTGACTCAGCCCTGCATGGGTGCATCAGTCAGTTTCTTGTTGTTTTTCTCTTATACTGGTAACTGTCTTCAGCCTTTCAAAGGCAGCAGGATTAGATTTGTAGACTGAGTCAGATTGCAAATTAAGGTCTGTGATAACCAGGAGGTTATGCTTATGAACTCTGGGAGCTGGAGCCCCCAAACATCTGGAGAACACCAGGTTAGAGAAGGCTGGTCTGTTGATTGCTCTCTCATTATGTGGCATGGAACACCAAGGAATGACTTGGCAGGGAAATCTCTTTGCCACTGGAACTCTTACCTTCTCTTGACATCTCGTTGAAAGCATCCAAACAAATGTTTTTTGTATTTATTTGGAAAAGGCAGGTGGAAGCCCCTGTTTGCAGCTGGCCTCTTCTCCCCAGCATAGAAGAGTTTTCCTTCAGCTTTCTATGTTAATGCTTGAGCAATTCCTCCTCTATGTAGGCAAGACAGCTTGGAACAGCTGCCAGCTCTCTGTGTGTGCTTGTGGGTGTCCACAAATTGGAAGCAATGTTCTGGAACAGCTGCTCACATCTGGGCAAATGACTTGGCATGACTATAAAAACCTTCCCTTGCTTTTTCACTGCTTGCTGCCACATCGTATTATTGGCCATTCCCCCCCTCAGCCGCACGCACACACACACACACACACACACACGCACACACAGACACTTTTCTGTGGCTTCCCTTGATTTTCATTCTCTTTTGGGGGGGGGGGAAGCTGCAATTGTTTTGCCCTCTAGCCATTGGAAATGCGAGAGCAGCTTTTCTCCTTTTGAAAATCTTTGGTTTTTCCAAATCTTCATCTTTTATAACTTTCCTAAACTTAAGGCTCTCTGGAGGTGCTGGCTAACTACAGTTCCCATCATTCCTAGACTGGCCATTGGGGATAACTGGAATGAAAAAATCCCATTATTAGAAAACACCAGATTTTGAAAGACTGGCTAATATATTGGTGGTAAGAATAAGGAGGGGGAGAGGGAGGGAGGGAGAGAGAGAGAGAGAGAGCAGGAGGGAGGGAGTAGCTTTGTTGTTTATTAATACAGCTAGTCCTTGACTTACAACCACAACTGCAGTTGGAATTTCTGTTGCTAAGTGATGTGGCCACAAAGCGCAATGTCACGAGATTGCATTGCTTAATGGTAGCAATCTGGCCGCCTCTGTTGTCTTTGTTATCAGAATGCCATTATTAACCGAATTCCACCCCATCCAAGCCAATCTGGCCTTGATCCATCTCAGCCCTGAGCCTTAGTTCTTCCCAGGTAAGGGACTGCCTCTCCTTCAACTCCTCACAACTCCCTATTCACTCCATCTCTACCCATTTGGCTGATCTGCACCCTGTTTTGAGGGGTGGAAAGCAGCCCCAAAACCACACAGCTCTGGGACTGCTTGTCACTAAGGATTTCTTAGTGCTTTGGAGCTGCAAAAAGCCTCTGAGCAGCAATGGGAAGCCACAGCCATCCCAATCCTGTCCAGCAGAGTGATGCAAAACTGCCATGCTCCAGGAAGGTCCACCAGTGTGGTGCAAAGTTGCTTTGTCCCAGGAAGCTTCAAGAGTACAGTGCACAACCGCTGTACCCTGGGAAGCTCCAGCAGTGAGGCACAAAGCGATAGAGTTGCAGGAAGTGCCCCAGTGGAGTCCCATTCTCAATCGCCATCCACACACCCCAGCTGACTTTCACCGTCGCCTTGCTCCCATTGCTGATGAGTTGTGCCCATCCTGGCCCTTTGCGAGGCAGCTGTTGGCCACATGAAACCATCTTTCCCAGGTCTCACGAGAATGGGCACATGCGACTTGAAGAATGGTGTGTGTGGCTTGGGAAGAAGGCCTAGTATGGCCAGCAGCTGCTTCACATAGTGAGGCTGGGCACACCTCATCAGCAGTGGGAGGGAGATGCCAGACGGCAGCTGGGCCTGGCAGGGCCTCTGGGGTACAGGGCCATGGGGGCCTCTGGGCCTTTGCACTGTGGTGGCTGGCCATGATGTTGGGATTGAGGGAGTATTTCTCAGTGGCAGTGACAGCACTGGGATGAAGTAGAGGCCTGAGGAAGATGACAGCTGGCTGAGACTGCTAAAGTCCTCGGGTCTCTACTTCAGTCCCAGCCCCACTGCTGTCACCAAGGAATGCTGCTGGTGCAGGGTGGCCAAACATCCCCAGATGTGGGGGAGATAGGTGGGTAAGGAGAATTGAAGTACCCCTGCAGTCATAAGTATGGGCAAACTGCTGGGCTCCTGAATTTTAATCAAATGGCTGCCGGGATGCTACAAAGGCCATAATTTTGGGCACCAGTCATAATTCCCTTTGTATAGTGCCACCATGATGTCAAACAGTCGCTGAACAAATGATTGTAAGTCGAGCACTACATTACAGCTTTTATACATTTTATCTTGCCATTATTATTTTAATACTACAGATGGTCCTCGAATTATTCACTTAGTGATTGTTTGAAGTTACAACGGCACTGAAAAAATTGGCTTACAATTGTTTTTCACAAGACCGTTGCATCATCCCTATGGTCACGTGACCAAAATATGGGTGCTTGGCAACTGGCATATGACAATTGCACTGTCCCTGGATCACATGATCACTATTTGTAACCTTCCCAGCTGGTCTCTGACAAGCAAAATCAATGGAGGAATCCAGATTCGCTTAACAACCGCATTATTTACTTAATAACTATGGTGATTTGCTTAACAACTGTGGGAAGAGGTCATAAAATGGGGCACTTAACAACTACCTTGCTTAGCAGTGGGCATTTTGGGCTCAGTTATGGTGTATTTTCATTATTATGCCTTATTGGGCATTTTAATAAGTTCATTGTATTGTTTTGATCATCAGGTATTTTTAAAATATTTTTGGTTTCCTTTGGAAATACCTGTACATTATATTTGTAAATTATTAGCTTCCATCTCTTGAAAGGGTAAAATCAGCTGAACATGATTATAATCCAGAAACCCTGATCCTTGTGATCTTTGCATCAAATGTCACGCTTTAAGGACAAAGGAATGGTGACTACAGATTCAGCAAAGAGAGTAGCATCTACAGCAAATAAATCCACATCCTGAGGTTATGTTTTATTTTATCTATCCATAAAGCTGAGTTGGGCTTTGATAGTGGATTTACAATTGTTCAAAAATCACTTTTTAATTTTTTAATATGACTGAAGACAAAATCATTAAATGCACAGGGAGTCATTCCATTAGCTGGATTTAATTTTAATTTTAATTAATCAGATCAAGCTTCTTTGACCTGGTCCACCCACTCATGGCTCATAATCCAAAAAGGGTTGTATGTTCTCAGCTTGGCTGATCTCTGTGAAACATGTTAAATTCACTGACGCACACAGTAGAGAAGAGAATGTGAAACTGGAAATGTTTTATGCTGGAAAATTGCTGAAAATCAACTCCCTCTTTCATCTCCAGATATTTTCAGTGCCCACCAAAGTTTGGGCTCTTTGCTCCTATCCATAAAGTCATCCGGATTGGGTTCCCGTCCACTAGCCCAGCCAAAGCGAAGAAAAGTAAGAGGATGGCCATGGGTGTCTCAGCCTTGACCCACAGTCCCAGCAGCTCTTCCATCAGCTCTGTCAGTTCCGTAGCCTCCTCTGTAGGGGGAAGGCCTAGCCGGAGTGGTCTGGTAAGATTCAGAACAAGTCTTGATGATGTCGCATCATGGTGTAACTGTGCAGGTGCCATGAATTATGCAATCATAACAGATGTGGTGGATGATGTCATGATGCATATGACATCATTTGTCCTCCTTTTTCTAAAATGTCTTTTTCAGTGATTGTATAAGCTCCAGTCATAGCATCACTGAGCTTGCAATTCCCTTCCCGCTATATGAGAGAACTGATACAAAGACCGTTGCCCAAATATATGGAATATCTTGGAGCAATGTTTCTCGACCTTAGCAATTTGGAGATGCATGGATTTCAACTCCCAGAATTCCCTAGTGAGCATGCCGGCTGGGGAATTGGGGCAGCTCAATCCACACAAATTGCCAAGATTGAAAAACACTGCCTGCCTACGATTGGGTTTTGTTTTTGTTTTTGCTTTCTCAGAAACACACAGTTTTGAAAGAGAGATGGACAAGTTGGGACCTACAGCCATGTTAGTTCCTCCAAGTTGGCCTCCATCAACAACCATTGTTCTTGGTGGTATGATCAAAGAGGAAATGGTGGCTGGGTTCACACATGGCATTGAGCCATTTTCTATTTACTGTGTTTTAAGGAATAAATCATAATTGGATGAGGTCACAAAGAGCTCTAAGCCATAAATCATGATTTCCAAACCACAGTGATTGGAGTCGCATAACGTTTAAAGCAAAAACCCATTGAAGGCACCTTTTAACATAGTGCAGTGTGTGAACTCAATTGCCGAGTCTGCCTTTCTCGGCCTGACTGGCACCAGCACCGTTTTCTTTTCTCTCTTTCCCGGTTCTGCATCCAAAGCCCGATATGATAGTAGTTGGTTTTGAGGACAGATTAGTCAGGAAAG